CGGATCGCTGGAAAGCAATTTTCTAGGGAATGAATGAACCCGGAATGCATGGCTAATTACTCGTTCCCTCCGCCAGCGGCACGTTTCGAGCGTCATGGACCGAACCAGCTTACGTCAGAGGCGAACGCGGCGTCGTATAGTCGCGACTAGGCGTCTGGAACGCGATCATGATTCGCCAAAAAATTAAGTACTCTCTATAGTCGAAAGACTAGCTTCTTTGAAACATTTCGTTTTAAAGAAGATCGTGCTGCTGCATGAAATTAAAGTTCGCGGATAGTCGCTGCTGAAATTCGTATGATATATTTTATGGATCGAATCTGATGTCTAGCATAATCATTTTTGAAAAATCCTTCGCAAAGGTGAAATTCTAATCGCTATAATCAAAATAAAAATCGTCGATTGTATGAAGCGGAAGCTGGATAAGAATGTACTTCTCTATTCGACGACGTTAATACAGTGACGGTAATGCTATAGTAATTATACTAATTTACTATACTATTATAATTATATTATAATATATTATATTATAAATTATATTATAAAATTATATTATAATTATATTATAAATTTATACTATACTATTACTATTATATTATACTATTTATTACTATTATTTACTTATATTTATTATTACTATTATTTATACTATACTATTACTATTATACTATAGTAATTAGTATAATTACTATAGCATACTATTATTATTATAATAATTATACTAATTAAATAATTAAAACATAGCTGATCTTAAACGTTAAGACACGGAGCAAGTCTTCGAATCATATCTTCGTGTTCTAGAACGTGTGATTAAATCAAATATCTTAAACTTCAGTTTGAAAAATGTAACTTTGCGACGTCACATTTTATTACCGAGTTACCTGACGGAAAGTAATATTTCGGTTATCGATGTGTCAAAGGCTTCGCGGGAAGGAAAATTCGTTGCAAAAATTACCTCGTTGCAGACCACCGTGAGTCGTCGTGGTCTGGATCTCTGTCAAAGTTCGTCGATCGCGCCCAATTTTTCCACCGTCGTCGACGGATTCGAACGCGAACGACTCGATCACTGTTTCGATTACAGAAAAAAAAAAAAACGGTCCCCAATCGGCGCATCGAACGATCCTTACGGCGATTTCGTTCGCTACGCCATTGGCTTCGGCCAGGCTCCTGAATTTTACAGCGACGGATTACAATAGCTTTGACTTTACAAAAGCTTTCCTGGAATGATTTCGCACACCGGCGGCGCTTCTTGGGGCTGGTCGACGAGCGTTGGTCGCGCGAGAGCCGATCGAGCCCGGTCCTTTCGATGGAAAAAAAGCAAGTTTTATTGAAAATTTCGATTGCTCGCTAATTGAAACGCAACGGACACGTTCCATCCGCAGCGGCGCTGTTCTTTATTGATTTCAAACGCTGACACGCGGTCGCTGTTCCTCGCGGGATAAATCTATCCGTCAAATCCGATCTATCGAGCCCGCACCGTCGACGTATCGACGCCGCATCGACGTCGCAAATCATCTCTCGCCGGACGTTGCTACCTGTGCAAATTAAAATTCTTCTTGTCACCGTTTGTCAGCTTTCCGGTGCTCTACGCTATCGTTCTCTCGCTTCGATATTTTAACCAGCGCCGCTTTTCACGTCCTTTGCCTTTATATGTATTGTTAACCGATACGGTTGTCAAATTGGCGGCCCGAGTAATCCTACAAACGCAAAGCGATTTACTTAAGCCGGCGAAAACTATAATCTATCACAGAAACAAATGGTTTATATGCTTTTTTTTTTATTTCTTTTTTTCAAAAAGAAATTTTTACTGTGGAAGAGAAGTTAGTAGAGGATATTTGCTCCGAAGTACGGAATTGTGATTTTCAGCTATTGAAAATGGCTGAAAAGTGCGAGATTGTAATATCTTCCTGTCTAAAATGGCTTAGAAGTACGAGATTGTAATTTCATTCTGTCTAAATGGCTCAAAAGTACGAGATTGTAATCTCTTCCCATCTAAAAATGGCTCAAAATTAGCAAAGTGTAATTTTCCTTTATTGACAATTGCTCAAAAGTAGGAGATCGTAATTTCTTCCAATCTAAAATGCCTCAAAAGTACCAAATTGTAACTTTTCTATATTGAAAATTGACTCAAAAGTACGAGATTGTAATTTTCACGAATTGAAAATGGCTCAATATTACGAATTACAATTTTCTTGAATTGAAAATGACTCAAAACTACAAATTGCAATTTTCCTGAATTAAAAATGACTCAAAATTACGAAATGCAATTTTCCTGAATTGAAAATGGCTCAAAACTACAAATTGCAACTTTCCTGAATTGAAAATGTCTCAAAATTACAAATTGTATTTTTCCTCCGTCAAAAAACGACTCAAAAGTACGTTCTTCAATTCGCGAGCCTCCAAAAAATGCACACAAAGCTCGATCTTCCGATATTTCGAGTTAATTCGACTTTTATATGTTCGAGCTCGTTGCTGCAACATTTAAAAAGAAATCCCACCATTTGGACCAGTTTTAAAGCCACCTCTTGGCAGAGAAAATTCCACGCCGATTTCAAACGTCTTTTCCAGTAGCTCGGGAAACGTCTCACCTTGTCTCACCGCGTCTCTTTTATCCGGCGCAAAAGAATGATCGCGGGAGCGGGTCGCGAGCGTGATCGATGGAACGTGACCGGGTCAGAGGGTTAATTAGCGAGCCGCCGACGCGCTTGTGCCAGTAGATGGATGCTCGTGGCTTTTCAGCGTGAAGAAAATTAATTTCCGCGACGCGTAGAATCGCAGTCGGCGAGCGTGTTCGTTCGTCCCGCGGCTCCACGTTTCGCAATCTTGCGACACCAAGACGTATCCGGCGCGATTCTCGTTGGAAGAGTACACTTGCGCACAGCGAACCGAACACGCGGCCCACCCACGAGTCTCCCGACCGCGAAAAATAGGGCAGAAATCGTGCGCCCACCTGCTGGACCAACACAGTTCTTGCAGAGACGACGCTGCGACGAAACGGAGAAATGAATTTCCAGAAATATTTTTATTCGACAGCGTCGCCTTCGAAGCGAAGTAGCTCTCGTTAATTAAAGATCAATTAAATCGTCGAAGTTCCGAAAAGTTGCACGATTTTGATCAATATTGCCCACAGAGGTTTTTTTAACGATTATTACATAGACTAAAAGAACCCAACTGTGAAAAATAATATCAACCCTGCAGCTTGTCCATGTATGATAATCTGCATCACGCGTTTCCCGGTCATTTTTTCTTTCCAGGGGGTTGTTAAAATTTACAGAAACAATTTAACCTATTTTCGATTACAATCATCACATTGGAGAATTTTTTTTTAGACGTTTCGCTTGCAAAAAGAATGAAACGCCCGCCAAAAATCGGAAAACCGCAGATTTCTCGAGAACGAAAACCGTCGCCCTCGCCATTTTGAATTCTATCGAAGGATAGTCCCTAAAGCAGCGTTGTCAGGTTTTGTCAGATTTTTTCCAGGGTAGAAACAGTGCCTCAAAAATTGATAACCGAACCTTGAACGTTATTTCCGTGACAAATGAAGTTGCGCTAGATTTGATCCACTTAACAATATAATATAATAATATAATATAATATAATATAATATAATATAATATAATATAATATAATATAATATAATATAATATAATATAATATAACATAATATAATATAATATAATATAATATAGTATAGTATAGTATAGTACAGTATAGTATAATATAATATAATATAATATAATATAGTATAATATAATATAATATAATATAATATAATATAATATAATATAATATAATAATAACGAGAAATATGCAGCGGAGACTCCGTTATCCGAACTCCGCTTGTTTCTAAAATATCCCGTTATCCAAGCGTGCCATATTATTATCTAATCGTCGTATTATCTAGATACATTATCGCGCGGCAGCGGACTTGAATGAAATTTTTACATAACCGAATGTTTCGGTATCAGGATATTACGAAAATAAATCTTCAGATAAGAGAGTCTCCGCTGTATTGTGCGCCCGATATGTATGTACCGAACGTGTTCGAGATAGCTCGAAGATTGATCGGCCCATTTATTTGAAACTTTGCATATGCCTGCACGCGTGCTTGTAAATCGAGCCGGTAGCAACGGCTGGCCTGGGAATTTCGCGAAATTCTCGGCCAAAGTGAATTTCGCCGGAGTTTTCGGCGCCGTCCGTCGCTTCGAGGAAAGAGAAGCCGCCGAGCGGACGAACTTCGCCTAAGCGATTCGAGGCGAATCGTTCGCCTATTATCTCTCGAGGTCCGTTCGATTCCTCGAGCAGAGATTCTTCGGCGGACCACGGCGATTTCGGCTTAGTCGATCCCGGCGTCGGAAGGCCCCGTTCCTCGAGGGTGGCCGCGGAACCACCCCCCGTCCCTCTCGCCGCGCTCGCTGTGCTTAATAGGGGTGGTCGCGCGGCAAATAATAGCGGCGACTCCGCCGATATTTTTCCGCGGCAAAACGCCGGCTTTCGACGCAATCTTCGCGCGCCACAATGCCGCGAAACCGGGGACGAAGGGATACAGAGGGAGCGCCGTGTTTGCCGAGACTTTGCTCGCCTCGAGAATGCCGAGAGGAGCCAAGGAGAGCGGCGCGAACGCGCCGAGGATCGAAAGCCGCGGCGAGAGGAGACGTATCGCGCGAGCCCCTAGGTGTATATGGAAATAAAAGTTGGCCGAGCAAGGGAAATAGTGCGACGCCGGTAAAAATAAATAATGGAAGGCGCCAGACGTATCGATCCGAGGCCGGTTTCTATAGCCTCCGCCGCCGAAGAGAGAGAGAGAGTTAAGGAATTCTTTCGGGCCGTGCGTGGCTAACGAGGAGCCGAGCCCGCAGCCCCGAGTTTCTGCCAAAATACGCGACCCGCGTCGCGTCTCGTCTCTCCATCCCCCCCGATCCCCCCTCCGACAGAGCCGCGAACGCGTCGAACGTTCCCGAGTTTAACGGCTCGATTTAACACCGTCGATTTTCTGTTCGCAGGGGAACAGTCCGAGGAACAGCTGCCCCGTCTGCGACAGACACTGCCCGACAAGATCGACCTCCAAGGACGAGACTCTCTGCTGGAACCAGCAACACTGCCAACGAGGTATAATATTTCGTAACGATCGAGAGTTCCCCCGAAACCTCCGTTTAATTAACGCGAGCCCCTGGCAGAGACTTGTTTCGGTTGGCGGGAAAGTAATTTCGGTATTTCGGTGTGAAATGAAACTCTATTTTTTATGTGCGAGAAACGAACTTTGATCGGTCAAATATTTTCCATTTTTTTGGATGATCTTTTGTCATTTTTCTGGTAACATAGTGATTCGCGAAACTTCTGCTCCTTGTCGGTAAAAGAAAACTCGAACATCGAAAGCGCGATTCGAGACTATCGGTTATTATTGTAATTTTTGATATTTAAAAAGTTTCGTGTACTTCGGAATAAATGATTAATTAACCCTTTGTACTCGAAGTTGCTTTAATTGCAAATCTAAAATCATTTTTCCGACTTGCAGTATTTCCATTCTGCAGGACAAAGTGCATTTGATGCGTACGAAATCGAGTCTCGCGATTCGTACAACAGTTATACTTTTAATAATGTTTAAAATCTGAGCTTTAATGATATAAAAATGATCTTAGTAACCTGAACGTGTCGGCTACCAAAGCTGGGGACAAGAAAATTATAACCTCAACAAACGAATGACAATGCAATCATAACGCTATCTATTTGCACAAACCAAAATTACTTTCTTGCCAATCCAATATGTTCTTCCGCGAATCGGACGCGCCTCGAGTGCGAGAATCGGTATAAATCGCTCTCGGGGAACTCGGGTTTCTTATCCACAAAATTGCGAGCAACGAGACCACGCCCACCGGGTCGCTGTGAGAAAGAAAAACCGCTAGAAACGCGCCCACTCGAGGCACACTAGCCGAACAGAACGATGACACGAGGTCCATCCGGGCGCTCTAACCGCGAGAACGACGAAGCGACGCGGTCGGTGCAACGTGCGAGACTAAGGTGACAGAGCCACGCCCCTCGTGGCACTCTATCGGGTATAGAGGAGCCAGGCCACGCCCCGCGCGGGTACGCCGCCAAGTGGAAAGCTAGGCCACGCCTCCCGGCGGACTCTAGCGAACGGGCGCGCTTTGAAACCAGGTCCTTTATGCGCTTGGCACGGAGAGGAAACAGATATTAACGCGTGCTCTCGGTCAATTAGTAGAGCGCGACGCGATAAATGTCACGGGAAATATTTCCTCCGGAGGCTCGGAAGCGCGGCTGCTCTCGTTTAGAGTTCTCCGAGGTCCTCCGCCATTGGCTCGTCCTTTTCCTGGACTCCGGTGCTCGGCTAGCAAAATCCGCCGCGGCGTATCCGACGCGGATAAGGGGATCTCGGGTTTCGGAAGGCGGCCGCTGCGACGAGTTCAACGACTTTACGCGTACGCAAACGCACCGCGATCATCGATTACCCGTGAAACTCTCGAACGGGGCCGTCCGGGGAAGCTGTCTACGTTCGTACGTGAAATCTCGCCGGCGAACGGTTCGACGGGAGTCTACGGAGCGACGTTGCCGGACGTCGAGACGACGCGACGCGACGTCGCGAAGGAGATTCCCCTCGCCGAATCTGCTCGCCGTTTGCTCGCTGAAAAAAAAAAGAAGAAGAAGGGCGCTTTTCGCCCTGCGCCGTTCCTTCTCCTTCCGGAATTATTCTCGTTGTTCCTTGTTCGACGAGCTTTCCACGCCAGCTTTTGTGCGCACTGTTTTTACACAGCACGCAAAGTCCCGACAGACGGCGGCAAAAAATATCGAGGATGTCGTAAAATGGTCGCTCAGTTAATTCGCAGTTCCAGTGCAATTCTGATTGCAGAATTTTCGAGTTCCAGCGAGGTTGGACTTTCTATCGATACGAAAGGGTTCGATGTTACGCGGTCGGTTAGGTGAGACCAGTTCTCAACCCTTAATCGCTATCGTCGGTCTGCGAGACTGCTGGTGATTTCATTGTTCTTGCATGGCGATGGTATGATTGCGAGAAAAAAAATGTGGAAAAAGAGAATATTTTCAATGCAGTTGCTTCTGTTCAATCGAATTGTCCAAATTGAACCCCTTCGTTATCGATGTGCGAAGAGAGGACAATTTATTCGAATGTTTGATTTTCACCATTTTCACGTAAATGATAACGAAATAAACATTAGCTGTCTGTGTGATTGCTGGTTATTTAATTATTCATGTTTGCTGATAGTATAATTGCCAAGAAAAATTGTAGAAAAGAAAGAATATTTTGCGATGCAGCTGCTTCTGTTCGATCGAATTGTTCAAGTTGAACCTCTTTGTTATCGATGTGCAAAGAAACGAACAATTTATTCGAATGTTTTACCACTTTCACGTAAATAATGACGAAATAAACATTAGCTGCCTGTGAGACTGCTGGTAATTTAATTATGCAAGTTTTAGCAGGGTTAAATAGGTCTAATATGGACGAACAATCAATTGTAATAACAGTAATAATAATAGTAATAATAATAATAATAATAATAATAATAGTAATAATAATAATAATAATAGTAATAATAATAGTAATAATAATAGTAATAATAATAGTAATAATAATAATAATAGTAATAATAATAATAATAACTTTATTTGTCGCTTTTTTTCTAAAAACGCTTTTTAAACGCTTTGTTTTTACGCTGGGAAAAAGCAATAACAATGTAGCAGTCGCACAAGGACGGCATAAAACTGAAAGAGATCTTCAACAAGAATAATAAGCACGGGAGGGAAAAAGAAATTATGCCATTTATGTTTTCGAACGGAAAGAACGAGTCCGCAATGGTTCTTCCGTGTTTCGATGTAAACATGCCAACTAGGTTAAGAATAGGATCGCGTTTGCGCGAGAGAAGAGACACGGGGGGTTCTCATTTACTGCGACGGATACATATCTCAGGATTTTATATGCTAAGTTATACGATTATCCGTTCGCCTCGTTTCAAATGAAGTGCGTCCGTCCCGTTTCGATTCGTCCGTAGAAAAAGAACAGGCGAAATTGTCGGTGTACGCCCATCCGTGGCCGCGACGCTCCTAAATTACGCTTATGCACTCTACACGTCGACCCTAATCGTCGGCGTATCGCTGTTCGAACGTCGATCAGTTTTCCATGCATCGCGAGTTCCTCTCCTCGGGTCCCGTTTCGAACGCTAAATCCCACCGGACGATCGCTTTTCCATCGTTCAGAAATCATTGAACCGATTATGGCGCACCAAGTTTCGCGTAAAACATGCGGGAGATTGATTAACGCGGGGCTACGCGGTTCATTTATAAAACGTTCCCCAAGATGACAGGGTAAGGTAATGTCTCCCTAATTGACGCTCAGATCGTGCAGAAAAATGGACAATTTGGGAAGGGGAGATACGATTATTCGAGCTCTGCGGCTCGTTCTTATAGTTGTTGACAATTCGTAACTATAAAAAGGAACCGCAAGGCTCGAACATTCGTATCTCCTCTTCTCAAATTGTCCATTCTTGAGGATAATCTGACGGTCGATTACTGTAGTTCGCCGGCGATCTAGAGCAATCGATCAAATCGGGAACACCTAGCAGCTCCGTTTCGTGATCGTGTCATCGTTCTACAGAACGGAATCGTCTTTTATGTACGCCTATCCCTGATCGCGATGCTCCTAAATTACGCTTATGCACTCTATACGTCGACCCTAATCGTCGGCGTATCGCTGTTCGAATATCGATCAGTTTTCCGTGCATCGCGAGCTCCTCGCGTCCCGTTTCGAACGCTAAATCCCTAATTGACGCTCAGATTGTGCAGAAAAATAGACAATTTATTAGTATTTGATCCCTGCAGCTCGTTCTTATACTTGTTGACAATTCGTAACTATAAAAGCGAACCGCAAGGCTCGAACATTCGTATCTCCTCTTTCCAAATTGTCCATTCTTGTGGACAATCTGAGCGTCAATTAGAGAGACAATACTGTACTTGAATAGTTTAGAGATCGTAATGGCGTGTGTCACATTTTTCTCGTCGCGGAAAACACGGTGCGTTGATCTTTACTAACATACATGTATACCGTATTGTTTACCGATTAAATTTATTCTTAACAATTAATTGAGACGATGTGGTCGTCTCTTAATTAATTTAACTTAACGAAGGGGTCGCGTGAATTTATGTTCCTCCATTCTGACTTCGCAGGATAGATTTGCGTTTTTCGTTCGAATTTTTATTACGCTGCGTTAGTTTTTCCATTTCGCTCGTAAGAAATGCTGGACACGCGAATAAATCGCTCTCATTCATTTTTTAAATTTTATCAAATGCAGCGTTGATTGAACAAAACTGCAACGGTTTAGAACTATACATACGTGACTGTTTATAATTCTCTGAAAAAATGTAAATTGGAATTCTCAAATGAAAATCGTGAAAGACAGAGAAAAAACGAATCGCGAGGCTCGCATAATCGTATCTCCTCTTCCCAAATTGTCCATTCTTGTGGACAATCTGACGGTCAATTAGGGAGACATCACCGTAGTTCGCCGGCGATCTAGAGCAATCGATCCGATCGGAAACACCTAGGCAGCTCCGTTTCGCGATCGTGTCGTCGTTCTACGGTACGGAATCGTCTTTTATCGATCGCTCGCTGGGCGTCGCTGTGCTGGTTCATTACCGAGGGACCCTCGGTTCCCTGCCGCGGAAATTGCAGGCCGGGTGTTCTACGTCGCCGCGCGTCGTCCCCGCGGCGAACGTGACAGGACTTTTCGCTGACGGGAACGGCCCGCGACGAACACATTGTTTACCTGGAACCGGCGGCGGCGGTGGCCTGTGCGCGCGTGTGGCCCGCGAGATCGATGTTAACTGGATTTCTCCGGGTCGCCGTTGTTGGTTCCGTTGCTCTCGGGAGACGGCCGGTGTAATTTCGCGAAACGATATAGATCCGCGGCCTTGGGCTCTCCCGATCGTCGATGAAATCTCCCAAGGTTCGAATCGCGATCCGAATCGTCCCGCGGGAGTTCCGCAAGGCCGTCCGGTGGCGAAAGCCTCTGCTCCGTGGGGCAGAGAAGCCACGCCTACTCCGACCCCGCGGAGCGGCGTGGCCACGCCCATTCTAGAGTTAGGCGGCCGAGGAGCGGCACGGATGAGAGCGAACGAAGAAGATGATACGATCGGGCTTGTCCCGGGCTTTTCAGTTTGCGACCCGAGCTGCGAGAACAACGCGTGCCACATGAACGGCACGTGCTGCGATCCGTCGTGCCTGGGCGGATGCGACGGGCCGACGTCCTACAACTGCACGGTGTGCAAGAACGTGATGACCTTGGAGCACGAGTGCAGGGAGCGATGCCCGGAGGGCACGCTCGAGTTCATGAACTACCGGTGCATCGAGGAGGACAGGTGTCTCACGATGGAGAAGCCGCGCGAGGCGTTCAACGTGAAGCAGCAACCGTACAAGCCGTTCAACGGTAGCTGCGTGCTGCAATGCCCGCCGGGCTACACGGAGGAGAAGCTCGCGGGGAAGAAGTCCTGCAAGAAGTGCGACGGCCCGTGCCAGAAGGAGTGCGAGGGCGCCATGGTGGAGAACATAGCGTCGGCCCAGAGGCTGCGCGGCTGCACGAGGATCAAGGGCAGCCTGGAGATCCAGATCCGCGGCGGCAAGAACATCGTGAAGGAGCTGGAGGACAATCTGAGCACGATCGAGGAGATCAACGGCAACCTGAAGATCGTGCGTAGCTTCTCGCTGATCTCGTTGAACTTCCTGAAGAAGCTGCGGCTGATCGGCGGCAACGACAGCAGCTCGAATCACTCGCTGCTCGTGATGGACAATCAGAATCTGCAGGAGCTGTGGGACTGGAGCTGGCACGAGAACATCCAGATCAGGTCGATGGGCAAGCTCGGCAAGGTGTCCTTTCACATGAATCCGAAATTGTGCCTGCACAAGATCGAGACGCTGCGCGAGAAGGCGGGACTGGCGCCGTTCACCAAGGACGAGGTGGCGCCGGACAGCAACGGCGACAAGGTCGCCTGCAACGTCACCGAGCTGAAGACCCAGGTGGGCAAGAAGTCGCCGTGGAGCGCGGTGATCGAGTGGGAGCCGTTCATCCACCACGACGCCAGGTCGTTGCTCAGCTACGTGGTCTACTTCATCGAGGCGCCGAACAAGAATATCACCATGTACGACGGCAGGGACGCGTGCGGCGGCGACGGCTGGAAGGTCGACGACGTGTTCATACCGAAGAACACGTCCAACCAGCTGGAGAGGTCCGTGCAGACACACTTTCTCTCGCAGCTCAAGCCGTACACCCAGTACGCCTACTACGTGAAGACCTACACCATCGCCACGGAGAGGTCCGGCGCCCAGACCAAGCTCACCTACTTCAGGACTCTGCCGGACGCGCCCACCGCGCCCAGGGACTTCAACATCTGGAGCACGACCAGCGACGAGCTCAAGATGAACTGGCTGCCGCCGCAGTACAAGAACGGCAACCTGACTTTCTACCGCATCTACGGCCGCTGGGAGCCCGACGACCAGAATTTCATCAACCAGAGGAACTATTGCCACGAACGTAAGTTCCATTGCTTCGCAGCGTCGCATGCTTCCGATTCGGCAGCGTTGCCGGGGAACTGATGGCGCGAGGGGCATCATTTCGCCGCGTTGCCGGGGAATTGATGGCGCGAGGGGCATCACTTCGCCGCGTCGTATGCTTTCGATTCGGCAGGGTTGCCGGGGAACTGATGGCGCGAGGGGCATCACTCCCCCCTTCCCTTGTCTCATGATCGTCGACAAACTGTGGCTTAATTAATGGAGGGGATACGCCAGCACTAGATCGTCACGTGACGACGCGTAGGTCAGCTTTTCGGCCAGGACGCATCCCCACCGTTTCGGCGCCCTCTTACCGAGACTCTCCGGTAGGAGTGGGGGTAAAAGGAACGCGTCGACGATCGCGGGGTAGGGCGCGGTGTCCGGGGAGCTTTACGCGCCATCAATTCCCTGGCAACACTGGGTACAAGTATCGCAGGCCGTTTCAGGAGTAGACGTTTCTTACTCGTCTCGTGGAGCTGCCACCGTCTGGAGCGCTTTACTTGGTCCCAGATAAAGGTCCGAGGACCTTTAGGTGACCTCACTCTTCGGGTGGGAGCTCGACGATGGCCGAGGGAATCTTGATGAACCGTTTGCGACCGTTTTACAGCGATGCTGGCGACTGACAAGAAGCACAACTCGCTGGAGGAGGAACAGCTGCTGGCGAGACGGCTCGCGGAGGAGAAGATGGAGTCGATGGCGCCGGAGAAGTCCTGCAAGTGTCCGGACCGCGAGAACGATCAGTCGCAGCGCGAGAACGAGGCATCGAGCTCGATCGCGTTCGAGGACGCCCTGCAGAACCAGGTGTACGTGAAGCGGAAGATGAGGCGGAAACGCGAGATCGGGAACGCGTCCGGTTACGACAACGCGTCCGGCTACGACAACGCGTCGCCGACCGACACGGACAAGCAGAACGTCGACAATTCCACCGCCTTCGAGGTACAGATACCGAGCACGAATCTCTCGTTCGTGATGGACAAGCTGCGGCACTTCGCCCTCTACAACGTCGAGGTGCAGGCGTGCAGGGCTCAGGAGATGAACGACACCTACAAGAAGTGCTCCACGAAGAGCATGAGGACCTTCCGGACATTGGCGAAGGAGAGCGCCGACAACATTCCGCCGGACTCCATCAAGATCAGCATGTCCAGCGAGAACAACAGCCTCACCGTGGTCACGCTGCAGTGGGACGAACCGCCGGAGCCGAACGGGCTCATCGTCACCTACCAGATCGAGTACAAAAGGATCGACATCGAAAACGTGAGTGACAAAAAGGGGGTTGCTTTACAGGGTGTCCCAAAATTATCTTGCTTGCGGAGGTGACGGGTTCCCGGGGTCATTTGGAGCAACTTTTTCCTTAGCGAAAATGCGATCGGTGGCTTCGTTTAGGAGTTATTAACGGAAAACGCTGACCAATGAGAGGCGAGCTCGGCTGGCGCGGGGCGGCTGACGCGAGGCGGCCGAGCCAATGAGCGGAACTGGGCTTCGGCCGCCCGTTGGCTCGACCGCCTCGCGTCGGCTGATCTCGTCTCTGATTGGCCACTGTTTTTCGTTAATAACTCGCGAACGAAGCCGCGGATTGCATTTCCGCTGAGGAAAGAGTTATTCGAAATGACCTCAGGAACCCGGTCGATGCAAAAGAAACGACGACGAAGTTCAATCTTTGAAATTCAATCGTTCACGATTTCGGGCAAATTAAAAGCTCGGTTTTATCGGTTTTGTATTCCTTGCCTTTTGGAACTCGGAAACTCTTCGGTTTTTATTGGACTGCTGTTATCGTTATCCAGCATCGAATTGTAAATACAAAGAGTCGAGTTCAGCGCAGAATCGGAGAAGTCAAGGTCGCCCCGTCTGTTGCAGTACAAACCGATGGTGATCTGCATCACCCGGCAGAACTTCACGAAAGAAAGGAAATCGTACGTGCTGAGAGGCCTGCAGCCCGGCAACTACTCGATGAAGGTGCAAGCGACGAGCCTGGCGGGACTCGGCGAGCCCTCGCCGATTAAATACTTTTACATCAAGGAGCCGAACACCCTCGACATATTCTGGATGCTGTTCTGGCTGGTGTTGTGCACCATCATGCTGCTGTTCTCCGCGTCCCTCTATTACATCCACAGGAAGAAGTTGACGAGGAACGCGGCCAGCTCGACCCTGATCGCGACGGTGAACCCGCAGTACATCAGCATGCCGTACGTCTTGGACGAGTGGGAGGTGCCCAGGGAGAAGATCGAGATGCTCAAGTCGTTGGGAAACGGCTACTTCGGCATGGTCTACGAGGGGATTGCCAAGGACATCGTCAAGGGGAAACCGGTGGTGCGCTGCGCCGTTAAAACCGTCAACAAGGACGCCACCGATCGGGAGCGGATCGAGTTCCTCAACGAGGCGTCCGTTATGAAGTAAGCGCTAGTAATTAACGCTTCGTCCGTCAGGGCCGACTCGCCGGTACGCGGCTGAAATTGCTATTCCCATCGAACGATGCGTTAGAAAGTTTTCAACTGTAAGGTATAAACTTTCAAAAATTATGAAGTCGTCGACGGTAGATAATGTTAATAATAATATATAATAGTTAAATAATTAAAAATAATATAATATAATAATAATATAATAATAATAATTAAATAATAATATATAATAGTTATATAATATAGATAATATATAATATCTATCTATCTATCTATATATCTATCTATCTATATATATATATGTATATATATATATAGATAGATAGATAGATAGATATTATATATTATTATTAATATTATCTACCGTCGACGACTTCATAATTTTTGAAAGTTTATACCTTATAGTTGTGAAAACTTATATATAACTCATATTATATAATATATATAATATAGATAATAGTTAACTTTTTTGATTTGATTTCTTGTTATATAAGTTAGATCAGTCCATTTGTATGCAATAAAATTCGAGATGTCGAGGATCACTTACAATCACTGACTAAAACATCGTCGCTAGATGATTCGTTTACATTTGATTCGATATTTTATTATGCTGGGTGTACGAGCCCATTTATACATAAAAAGAATCGGAACGACAGGCGACGACTAAAACAGTAAGACCAAGATCAAAATTAACGTAAAACTGTAACGTGAGACTGATGATACCAATGATTAGACTGCGGATTTTTGTGGAACATAAAAATTGTCCGCACGAATTCTGCATGAAGAAATAGAAATTAAACAGCAAGTTCTTTCCTTCATTAACGATGCTAACAAATTAAGAACAATACATTCACATTTTTGAATTCTTCTAATCGTTCGATCATTTTTAATAGCAACTTGTCATAAATGCAAACTCAATCTTGTCATGAATGCATAAAATCCGCAGCCTACCGACGACTAAATCACGACCTAAAATTAAAGCCAGAGCTAAACTTAAAACTGATTTGGATGAAATTGATCAGACAAGTCTAAGACAAGACGAACGTAAACTATAAGGTAAAAGACGTTGAGTTGGATCGCAGGTATCGACTGTCTTTCAAATTGTTGAAAATTATTGTTGCAAAGAGCTCCGGCCAGCGCTGGCAGCGGTCCACAGTTCAGTAAAACCGTTGCTCAAACTCGACAGGGGTTTCGACGCCCACCACGTGGTGAAGCTGCTGGGCGTGGTGACGAGCGGCCAGCCGACGCTGGTGATCATGGAGTTGATGGCGAACGGCGACCTGAAGAAGTACCTGCGGAGCCACAGGCCGGACAGCTGCGACGAGTCGAACCCGCCGCCGAAGCTGGAAAGGATCCTGCAGATGGCGATCGAGATCGCCGACGGCATGGCGTACCTGGCCACGAAGAAGTTCGTGCACAGAGACCTGGCAGCTCGGAACTGCATGCTGGCGGAGGACCTGACCGTCAAGGTCGGCGACTTCGGCATGACGAGGGACATCTACGAGAGGGACTACTACCGGAAGGGTAGCAAAGGCCTGCTGCCGGTCAGATGGATGGCGCCGGAGAGCCTGAAGGACGGGCTGTTCAGTAGCTTCTCGGACGTGTGGAGCTACGGGGTGGTGCTGTGGGAGATGGTGACCTTCGCGTCGCAGCCCTACCAGGGCCTGTCGAACGACCAGGTGCGCGTCGCATCGATCGGAAGATCTTCGATCTTCTCGCCGGACGCCTTTCTCACCGATCTTTCTTCTTCAGGTTCTGCGGTACGTGATCGACGGGGGCGTGATGGAGCGGCCGGAGAACTGTCCGCAACTTCTCTACGATCTGATGAAGAAGACCTGGAAGCACAAATCGGCCAAGAGGCCCACGTTCATGGACATCGTCGGCACGCTGTTGGACCACACCGACAGGACCAGCTTCCAGCAAGTTAGTTTCTACCACAGCGTCGAGGGCATCGAGGCTCGCAACCAGAACAAGACGAATTCCTCGCAGTCCAACGAGTAAGTGGCCCGAAAGCAGCGTCCTCTAGATTCTCTTTCTTCGACGATCTTGTTCTGACCGACGCGGTCGCGTTCACAGGCACCTGGAGCTGTTCACCCTCGAGGACCCGCGCGAAGAGGAGGCGGAGGGCGAGGAGGACTCGCCGCTCCGGCAGGACTTCGGCGACTTCGGGAACTTCAAGCCGGGCGTCATCAAGAACAGCTTCAGCCCCGGCTACAGGCTCGACTCGTACGGCGAGAACTCGAAGGCGACGATCAACTGCCACACCATGAACTCGTCGAACGTCCCGCTGAAGGCCGGCTTCGACGACTTCGACGGCGTCTCCGGGGACTCGATCGCCTCCGGCAAGGACACCTTGAACCTGCCGTTCGTCGAGGACAGCTTGAAGTCCTCGGTGAAGAGCTCGCCGTTCATGAACGCGAGGAGCGCGTCCCGCAGCAATCTGAGCCAGCTGTCGATCGGCAACAAGTCGGCCAGCCCGAGGAATTCCAGCAAGAAGAGCTACGTGGGCAGCCCGAACTCCTCGAAGCTGGCGAACCCGGATTACGAGAACGGCAGCCCGGAGGTCCTCTTGGCGGCGGAGAAGCGGGAAATGGTGCCGTTGAGGGTCGACTTCCCCTCCATCGAGGCCATCGACGTGGACGGCCCCGGTGTCGAGACTAAGGAGCCGGTCAGCCCGGCCGAGTACGCGAACAAACCGGACACCCTGAACAACGGGTACATCGGCAGCACGACCACGTAGTCTTAACGCGCTCGCGGCGGCGAGCTCGTCGCGGCTCGCGCTCCGAGGATCGAGGACCGATGCCCGAAGACCGTTCCAGACCGCCGAACGGCGGAAGAACAAGAGGTCGCCGGTGTTCAGGGATCATCGCGGAGGGCAGTGTCTGCGAGACGAAAGTGCGTTTCGGACTCTAGCCGTTTCACCGAAACGGTCGCGTGCTTTCCCGAACGATGATTCGATCGGCGATGCGGCGGCGTCGCGTCGCCGATCCGCCGCGAGATCCGTCGCCGATCTCGCTCCAGCCCAGCGGGCACGCGGCACCGATGCCCGTGCCGGATCCGAAATAGATCTTCGACTTCGTTGCGTCAATTGCTAGCGCGTGAGATCCTCACGGAATGCCGTTCGTTCATGTTACCTGCCCGCGGATAGCGATTTAGAGCGGAAAGTAGGTGCGTGTACAGGCGGAGAAGAGCGGATTGAACGAACGGAGTTCGCGTCCGATTCTGGAGCAAGGTCGTCCGCCGTCATTCCGTGACGATTTGATCGGTAGATGGTTGATTAGTCGAATCTCCGGGATGGTTAACCGGTTCCGACTTAACCTTGATCGAGGCTCGCACGACGACGGTGCCCGTTCGACAACGGGAACACCGTCCTCTGATCGAACGATAGATTCTCTTTTACCCACCTGGGCAGCCGTCGAGGTCCGTACGAAGCGACCGGGTTTTGGATCTCTCTGGGGAGCTTCGCTCGCGGTTACCCAGGTTCAGCAGACACTGCCTTTTTAACCAGACTCGCGGTATACAGACGGAGAGTTTCCCGACCAATCGGATAGGACTATGGATCCGCGGGGCCAGCGGCGTTGCTGGCCCCGCCGGCTTAATCGACAGGGTCTCGCCGCGTCGAAGATTTGTACGCCGGTAATTCGGCTGCGTCGCACGCGCGCCGACTCTGGCCGATCCTCTCGTTGAAACGGCGTTCGCGTGCCAACGTCGCTCAAGTTCGGCACGGCCGGTTCTTGACGCTGAGTTTCAAGCGCGGACAGACGAAGGCTGACTTTCCTTCTCGTTGCGGAACTTCTCGAGGCAGATAAGAGTCCGCAACCGGACAATTTCGCGCTTGCACCCGCGCTGGTCCCGGCCCTTGGCCGCCACGTTTCGAAGGTTTCGCGGCGACCGCGAGAGGATCGGCCGGTCCAGGAGCCGTGCCCACGGAAAGCATGTTCCGTTGTATCGATAATAATTGACAGCCTCGGCGAACCGAGGTGGCAATTAGGCGTGCAGAAGCGCGCGCCTCGGGGCTACGATTTTATATTTTCCAAGAATCATCTCGCCTAGCTGCCACCACGCACGAGCCTCCAGGCTTCTTCGCGAGTACTATTATTGCGGCTAGATTAAATCAATCGTCGATCGTAGACGGAGACGTTACGCGCGCGACCGCCTGTAAGCCCCGTTCGGGCAGTTCGTTCGCGGTAGAAAGTGCGGAGAGCGTCGGCGGATATCTCTTCGACTAATTGTGCGTCTCGCGAAGCACGAGACCAGGCTTCTGTGTTCGATCTAACGGCGTCGTGCTCTCCCCGTCGATTAAAATCGAGCCGGACCCTTTCGCTCCCGAGACCAGCTTCGTGTTGATCGCTCGAATCTTCGATCCGATTGCTCCGACGCGCGTTCGATCGCGTGGCTCGAACGTGTCTCCAAGCCGCGATCAACTCGAGAGAGAGAGAGAGAGAGAGAGAGATCCGGTTTTATTTCCTCTGTAAAATACTTCTCCTAGTTTTCACGTCCGAACTTTTGTATACTTGATTTGGATGAGGTTCGCCGAGCCACCGCGGTCCGGAGAAGCGACGATCCGCTTGCACAGCTTCTCTCACCGATATCATCGGACACATTCAACGGAGTCAATCAGATCTGGATCGAGCCTTGAATTACCTCTGTAACTCGAACGAAAGGGTCAACGCGATTTATCGACTGCCAGGCGAAAAGAACGAAGAGTCGGTCGCGCCGTCTCCGCCTCGATTCCGCTCGGCGGTCGCGAGCAGCCTCGTGTCCCGGGCCGCGTCCCCGGAAAGTTCTTCACACATGTTCGATCGTGCAATAGAGGGTGTATTGCGGATAAATTGGTGCTAAAACGCGGACCAGCCGGACACCGGGGACACGAGGCTGTCTCCTCCCGGAGAGCGGGAAAAGCGAAAATAATTCTGAAGCGTCCGGAAGCACGGTGGTGTTGTCACGCTTCCGAGTAGAGAGAACGTAGACTGGTTGTTTCTAGCACGACGGTAGCGATCGTCGAGGATCGATCGAGCAACAAAACGGATCCGGACGCCCGGTTCGTGCGGCGTTACCGCGACGCTACGGGGGCGTCCGGGCGCACAGTCGCGTCGAGAGCTAGCGTCGGGCACACACGCGAGAGGAGAGAACACGATGCCACGAGCACCAGCAGCACCAGCAACATGCGGCAAGCAGCTGAGTCTAGACGTAAAGAGCCTCTAACACAAAGACTGATTAGCTAAACCCATTTTATTAACGCCCGTATTTGCTGAGTAAGTTTAACGTTATCGAATCGAAATGGTAGAAGTTCCACATTTACATATGTATACATGTATGCACGCGCGTACCCGCATGCATATGTGCGTATATATATACATATATATGTACATACGTACATACATACATACATACATACATACATACATACATGCAGTAATGTCTCTCTAATTGTCGCTCGGATTGTCTACGAAAGTGGACGATTTTGGAAGAGAAGATACGATTGTTCGAGCCTTGTGGCTCGTTTTTTATGGCTATCGATTGTCAACGACTATAAAGACGAGTTGCGAGGCTCGAGCAATCGCGTTTCCTCTTCCCAAACTGTTCTTTTTCGTGCATAACCTGAGCGTCAGTATGGGAGACATTACTGTACATACATACAGTAATGTCTCCCTTACTGACGCTCAGATTGTCCACTAAAATGGATAATTTGGGAAGAGAAGATACGATTATAATTGTGAACAACTTATAACTACAAAAATAAACCGCAAGGCTCGAATAATCGTATCTCCTCCTCCCAAATTGTCCATTTATGTGCGCAATCTGGGCGTCAATTAAAGAGACATTACTGTGCATACACACGTAGAGTAATGTCTCTCTTATTGACGCTTAGATTGCGCAGAAAAATAGACAATTTGGGAATAGAAGATACGATTAATTTGAGTGTTGCACCTGGTTTTACAGTTACGAATGATCAACAACTATAAAAACGAGCCGCAAGGCTCGAATAATCTCGTATCTCCTCTTCCCAAATTGTCGAATTTCGTGCACAATCCGAGCGTCAATTAGAGAGACATTACTGTACACACATTCTCTCATCTTCTCTCTCTCCGTGAAGGCCATTCTCTCCTTCCTCACCTCCGTCTATTCTGTTTTACGCGGCCATCTTTTCTACGTGGACCGCGCGCACCGTTTCTTTCGCTGTCGCTTTCTTGCGCGTAAGCTCGCACACCGTTCTAAAAAAAAAAAATCGATTGCGACCCTCGTACGCGTTCACCGCCAACGCGATTCCTCGCCGATCGTCGCAACAGCTGCAACGATTTTCATCGCGAACCATCGCATCGCTCTCGACAACTTCTCGCGGCTCCCGCGGGACAGATTTTTAATGCAGTATTCGAACGACGTTTTTTCATGCATTCTCATCTCACTCCAGTTTAAATGAAGCCTCTCCCGCGCTCTCGAATCGACTTGATTTCTCCGCGTTGAGCCTCGCGTACGAGGGTCGAGAAGACAACGAAGTAATTCTCACTCGTCGACGAATCGACATTCTCACCTACCCCCTCTTTTTCCGCCCAGGAACCGCCCCTTTCCGCCGACGAATTCGCGAGCGAGTCCTATGAAAAAAATACTCTCGATCATGGATAAAAACGATCGCGCACGAAAGTCGTCTTTCTTCTTCTTCTTCTTCGTGCTCGAACGTGTCGTGTTCCTCGGATTTCATAGAGTCGTCGCAGTCTGCGGGGCAACAGGTGGCAGGAAATTTCGAGGCTTGTTCCCTTCAAGAAAATGCTGGAGCGAGAGGGAGAACGAGAGAAAGAGAAAGAGAGAGAGAGAGAGAGGGAGAGAGAGGAAGCTTAATAACTTTAAAAGCAGGCTAAAACCGCAAGTTTTTAGCTTGCACCCTTTAGCTCGGCTTCGGCACCCTCCGCGCTTCCCCCCACCTGTTGCCGAACACCTAATTGCGATTCACTCGGTTCATTTCGATGTTCCCGCTGCGTAGATTCGCCGGTCCGAGGCGCAGGGAGCGAGGAGCTTCGAGGCTTCTTCTTCCCCGACTTCCATGACCGACGCGACCCAGAGAGACAATACCGCTTTCGTTGCGCTAGAATCTCCGAGCTTCTCCGCGCAGCTTCGCGAGCCATCGCGACAGGGACGGCGATCGCGCGGCGAACCTAACGATCGAACTATTTTATCTTCTCCATTTTCTAACGCTTCACACATTACACTACGATAGGTGGTAGCGAACCGAGAATCGTACAAACGCGGGCTCGCCATTCGACGAAACCGAGACTGCGGCCGCGTGCTCGTTTCCCGCTGTTGAGCCGTCGATAGAGAACGATTTAATCGATTTAAACGACTTGATTTATAGTAGAATGCTGTAGTAGAATTTTCGTTGTACGCCACGTGTCCACGTCGCGACAATTTCAAGCCGTAATCTCAAAGCTTCTGCAAAATTTTGCTCGACACTCGCCATTTTTTCTCAAGACTTCTTTTGCAACTGTAACGATTAATAACGATTAGTCGAATTTTTATAGCTCTTCATTTAGCTTCTTATAGCTCTCACAGTGTGTCAGAACATTGTTAAATTTCATCGTAATACGATTTCGTTTATAATTGCAACGACCGGAGCGTCGTCGAATTTCAACGCGATTTCGATTACAGTAATGTCTCCCTAATTGGCGCCGAAATTGTGCAGAAAAATGGGCAATTTGTGGAAGAGGAGATACGATTATTCGAGCCTCGCGGCTCGTTTTCATAGTTGTCGACAATTCGTGACTGTAAAAATGAACCGCGAGCCTCGAACAATCGTGTCTCCTCTTCCTAAATTGTCCAATTTTTGTGGACAATCTAAGCGTCAATTAGAGAGACATGTACAGCTACGACGATCGAGACTAGCAGACTTATATCCACTCATTTCCTCGCAGATACTATCGATTCTCGAGTTCGAGCGAAGCTCATTTTAGCCGGCAGAGCCTCGACGGATCGCCGAAATCTCGGTCGAACACGTTTCGTTCGATTTTTCTCACGTTTTAAAAGTGAGACCTGAAAACCTCGCACGACTTCGGTCGACGAACGGGTTAGACGAGCGCGACGGCCCTCGCCATGAGCATACACGACGAAGGGAGCTCCGTAGAGGGGTGGATTCGCGTGGGCGTTCTCTAATAGGTCCTCGGGAGACCGTGTCCGCGGTGCAAAAGTCATCGAAGAATTTTCGAACGGGCGACGAAGGCGCGGATGTTTAAGTCGGGGACGCTCTGCAATGACGCTCGCGTTGTTTCCGGTGCAGGATATCAATCTCTGGCCACGTGACCTTCCATCGGAAGGATCGGAGTCGTTCTCCGTGTCCTTTACGATCGAGACACCTTCGATTTAAAATTCTCATCTCCCCGGTTTTTCAATGAAAAAGTCGAACATTCCTGCTTTCGCGTGATCGCTCTCTCCCTCTCTCTCTCTCTCTCTCTCTCTCTCTCTCTCTCTCTCTCTCGATCGATCGATCGATCGAGCGAAGATCGGAGTTTAGAATCACAGTGGCGTAAGTGACATTTTTGGATATGTTCACTCGTGTCTTGAAATGTAATCTATACATGCCAAATAGTGAAATAAATGATAAAGTAAATTGTAAATCAACGCAGCTCTAAATTACCTTAACAATAAATAGCCTTAAAGTTACCTTAACGATAAATTACCTCAACAATAAATTATAATTAAACGTTGATTTATAACTTAAAATTTAAATTACAATTTAAATTTTAAATTATAAATCAACGCAGCTCTAAATTACCTTAACAATAAATAGCCTTAAAGTTAGTTAGCTTAACGATAAATCGCCTCAAGAATAAATGATCTTAACAACAAATTTGTCCACTAATACGTACATACAGACGTTCTAAAAAAGTAAAACACACCTTGTTTCCCACGGTCAGGAAATTGTGACTCACGCCACTGTGATTCTAACCCGCTCGATTGTTCTCTACGTTTGGCCGCGCGATCGAAAACGGCGAAGAAAGGAACACCGAACGAAATTGTCGGAGCACTTCGGCCGACTCTTTGCGAGCCTAGAGGTCATTGCCGAACGTTCCCGATCCGAACGATCGTGGATCCGCGACGACTTCGTCGCCGATCGGCGACGATCCCGCGACAATTTTCTCGGATCTCGAACGATCGTTGGCGATCGAGGTTGCGCGATCGCTCGAGTACTTATCGTCTTTGATCACGGCTGGAAGCTTTTTTTCTCTGTCCTCCGCAGCTCTCGCAGTCTCGCTTAGCGTAAGATTCGTCCCCTCCCGCGTCCCGGGGGAGCCCACACTCCGGGACACCATCCCTGTTCTACATTTAGCCCGTCGAAGGATTTCACGGACCAACGCGAACATTCTCAACGGCGCCTAACCGCTCGACGCGATCGACGTAATTTTATTCCATTCAGCTCGGGGCTGAATTCAGCTTCATCTCGAGCTCGATTTCTCTGGCGAACTGTCCCGGGCAAAAAATGATCGATTAGTCGCTAAAGATCTTAGATCGCGAATTGTTGAATTGTCGCGGGTCGTTTCATGGAAAAACGGAACAACTCGTTTCGGCGGCCGCGAAGTTTCTCTGTTCTGCGAGATCGGAGAGAGAGAGAGAAAGAGAGAGAGAGAGATATGACACCGTTATCGGTCGCGTTGTTCATGTATTTTACAAATTCGCACGTGCTGTAATCGCGCGGGAACGCGCGACACGGCCGAACGTGTCCGCGTTGATCCGTGGAGCCTGTTTATTGGGGCGCGCGCGCCGCTCTTGTATTATAAAACAATGTGAAGCCTCGCTCGTATTCTGAAGTATTTAGTGTAACACGGATAAACAGTTAACGCTTAGACCGTATGCATACTCTGTACGCGCCCGTGGACAAGCCGCGCTTCGAGAACGACGCTTTCGTCGCCCGAGAGCCGATACGGGAACGAGCATCGCTAGGCGACGTCAGCGTGCTATACGGAAATTGAAAGACGGTCGATAATCGGTCGGAGACGCCAGCCTCTAAAACTGACCGTCTCTTCGTTTCTGCACAGTGCTTCGTAGACGCGACGCGTCTCCTCCGTAATGTCGCGCACGTGGGCGGTCGGCGACCGCGCCCCACGGGCCGGCGGCTCGCGGTACTGGCCGGCGCCTCGCGGCGGGAGGAGGGACGGGGCGTGGCCAGTCGCGACGCTACGGAGGGAGCGCGGTATTCGACGGACGAAGCGGCTCTCGGGGAAGGCTGTTCGTTCGCGGACACCTTGTGCACGCGCGCAGAACCGCCGGTATGCGTAAGGCGCTCTATGATTAACCAGAAAAAATGTTTCCTACGAAGCGACGAGTTCTCTCTATATCATTAAAAAAAAAGCGGCTCGTGGCTATGAGAAGAAGTTTCTTAGGCCT